ACTGAATTTCGACACTATCTGTTTATTTGAAGGTGTTTAAATATCTGTTATCTGTTTGCCGATTGTGCAAAGAAAATGTCCTCACGTATACGATAATGTCTTTCAAAATTTTATATCGACCTGGATATAAACGAGAAAGATTTATTTCCTTTTGTTGAGAGAACATATTACCTGGAAATATCTATTCGTCCGTTTCATTTATAGACCGATTTATAATAATCTATTCGTTTGTTCTCGCTTACCCGTATATACTTGGCATAATAATTTATTTGTATTGAAACAAGTCACACCGCGCACACACGCACGCACGCACGAATACAATTGCGTCGGTCATTCTGGATTCCATTGTCGCGCGCATTTCGCAAACGAGTTCCTAAACACGACGAAATGCCGCGCCGTCGCATTCTTCTTTTGCATAAAACATTCGCGGCCGATTATTTCACGAGAACGAATTTCGTCGGGTTTAGATAGCCCTATTGTTTACCGTTTCATTCACGCCATTGCCGCGCATTAAATAATTCATTAATGTCAGCATGATTTACGGTCGTTATCCGAATCACGCGCTTCGAACACGATCTGATATGATGATTCGATCTTCATAGTCGGTCGTGCGACCAAATAATCCTGTGAACGATTTTCGGAGGAAAAAAAGACATTGAAAACACCTGTGTTAGCGCTGGAACGCGAGAGAAAACAATCGCGAGTCTCGGGAATTCGTCGGAGTTAAAAGAGACAAGTTTTTTGCTCGCCTCTCTTCCTTCTCGTGAGAGAGGTTCGATAGTAATAATTAATGTAATCGAATCGAAGTGCTCTGAAAGGATCGATCGTCCGAACCGTCCATCGTAATTAGAAGAACATAGGACAACTGTTCGCTGAGGCTACGTTAATACGTTTTCATCTGAGTCAAAAGAACGAACGCCGCCTGCGCTCGCTTGCGACAACATAGTGTATAATGAATTTATCGCTTCATATGTATGATACACGCGTGAATCAAACATATCATTGCTAATTATTGCTAAAAATGTAGCCTATCTTAATGATAATTTCTATCGCTCCATTACCGGCGCAATAACAGCTCCCTTATCATATACGGCAATGTCTGAGCGCGTGTTGAGCGACTTCCTCAGTAGCCATTCGAATCGATTTACCTTCAATTTACGAGATATAGCCATCCGAATGCGAACGACAGATTACCGCGAGCGAGCGCAAATTCCCGTACCGGACACGTTTTTCGGTCGTTAAAAGAAACGAAAGTGACGGGCCATTATCCCGTTTCCCCACAAAAACGAACCGTTCTCGTCTGCAGCAGCGAGAAACGGGGCCCTTGTCCGGGCCATTTATCTCGATAATGACAGTTCGGAACAATTTCTATATTAGAGGACCTCATTAAGGCGCCGCGCCAGCTTGTAATTTTCCTCGTCGACATTTTTACGTTCGCGAATGCGCGAATTAAAATACGACGACAAGACCGCTGCATCGTGCGCGCTTCGTCGGACCTTATAATATACAGACACATACACACGTGCGCGTGCGCGCGCGCACACATACAGACTTCTTATTAATTGCGTGAGTGTCTTTTTTCAATGAGCGAACGCTCGAGAGATACGGAGATAGCTGACTTGAGCAGACAGATAAAATAGCAAAATAATCTTAGGAGCAATAGGATTCGCGTTATACTTCATTGAGCTTGTCCAACGGCTCAATTAGTAGCGCAAAATTTTTGCAGATATTTCTACGCGATACCAACGCGATATAGTCACGCGACGCCGTGTGCGCGTGTGATTTTATGCCAATATTAAATTAGCGAGAATATAACATACACTTCAAATTACTGCATCGCAATAATTGTTCTTTACATAATTGTTCTATCGTCAGAGGTCACGCTAATTATCAATATGCAATAATATTCCTGCTTTCAGCGAGATATTATCGGCGCGTTGTTGCTCTCGTTAGAATTTTTGCGATAATATCAAACTGCATACGCAAGGAAGGTTTCTCTATACACGGTTGACGTTGACAGTCGAGACGATGACCGGGCGGGCGGGCGTACGGACACAGATAGGTAATTATAGTTCACGTTTCAACCTGCGTCATCGGCGCTTCCGGAATTAATACTTGAATGAGACGGGACATCAAACGGAAAAACTTTCCGTGCGCGATTCAAGCTTCCTTAAAACGCTGGTCTTTTTTCCACATCATGTACTCGTATCGCGACTTGATCCGTTCGCTTTGAGAACCTCGCATAGTTAAGTTTGATAATAACCCAGGCATAAGAGTCTGAAGATTTTAATCGCGTTTATAGCATCAGCGTGTATGAAAAGATATCGTTTATCGCTGAGGGCGAAGTGTCTTGCCTCTGAACCGAAAATATTTTGAAGGTAACGTGAAAAATGAGGTCTTTTTTATTTGTTACAGAATAAATGACCATATTATAAGGAATGTGCGTATGACGAATCGAGTTTCTAGTAAACATGTGAGTGTGCGACGAAATATTACATTTATCATTTTCCATAATTTGTTCATGTGCAAACATGTGTCATAAACTCAACAAACGTTACTCGAATCCTTCTTCATGTTTTGTTTACATTCGATTTTTCTGCATACATCTTGCGATTATACCGACGACATTCTCCTATGTAGCATTTAGATATTCCAAAAAGAGAAGTTTCCTTCGAAGGAAGGCGTGCGATGAACGTTAACGGCTGAAAATTAATTGGCAAGTTTTTTTAACGTGGCAATGAAAGTAATGAGCCGTGGCGGCAGACAGGTAGGCTGTCGGAAATGGTGCAAAAATCGCGGGATAGACTGGCCGCTCCATTTTCGTCGGGAGTGGCTAACGTTATGGATGGTCGTACCGAAAGAGGTGAACGATTTTTCTTCGAGTTAATGTGTCGGCAAGAGAAGCACTGTACCCAGAGAATTATATACCGCGTGCAATATTATACCGGAATGGGAACAATGCGCTCGCGTGCGAGAGATGCGTGATAACAATAAACATAATAATGTAACAAAGTTGCCTTGAGTTGGCTTGAGTGAATGGAACTGTAAGACCGAGGCGACAAAGACGATCGACGTGCGACAAATTCGATACGAGGGACATTCTGTGAAAATTAAAATAAAAAGCACTTAATTCTTTCTGTTTCCTGATGAATTCTTTCTATTTCCTGATTCTGTACATAATCAGAAGAATTTAAAGAGAACTGATTGATACTTAGAATATTGATTACGGAATAAACACTCGGTTTGACATGGCCTGATGATTACTACACAGAACTCGTATACCTTGAAAGACCGGAAAATAAGTCCGACACATACGATGCGCTGCCGAATAATTTTATCCTCCCGCTAAAATTCTTATTACTACATCCAACGTCTAACGACATTATTAGATATTTATTTTTACTACTTCAGTATCTCGTATTATTTTCAAACCTAGATGAAATATCATAAATAGTTGTATGGTTCGTATCCAATCGTCAAGCTGGATGAATAAACACAAAACGATTTGCGCGGAGAGGAAAAGATGTGAGGTATTCAAAAGATTCAGTTGTAGTTATATTAGACAAAGTTCAGTCTCTTTTCGGCCGAAAGAGTGGACCTATTTCGTCGATAGCTACACCTTCCGATAATGAGTTCGAAACAGTTTTAATAATAACTTCGAGACGATTGCCATGGGACAGGCGACTAATCGGCCGCGTTGATATATTTGTGTGGGATGTCAATTACGCGACTGTCGAGTAATGAGTTCCCTGAAGCAAAGGAAAGAAGGAAAATTTATACCGCTAAATTTTCGAAGAGATGAATGCGATCGGATTTAGAATGTTTTAAAATATAACATGTGTTTTTAAAATATAACATGTGTTATCACGCATGGTACATCTCAAATATACAGACGGCGCAAATGACCGTCTTGTCGTAATGAGAAAAGCTCTTCATCCGTGTTAAGAGAAATTACAGACTACAATTTAATCAGGTTACTTTAATCAGATTGTTCAGTGGCGGAACGTAGTGTAGAATTTGCAGAAGTTTCATTATGAAAATGTTTGTTCTTAATATCGCGTTTGATTCCGTATCGCACTTAAATTATCGACATATTCTTTTTATAACTTAAAGGAAGGAAGACATATGATGTGAAACATTGAGTGTACAACATTAAGTGGCAATTCGTGTATCACGTATTAACAGAAAAGGGAAATACGAAAAATCTATTATTAATTCGAATCTATTATTAATTCTAATCTGTTATTAATTCAACAATAATAGCGAAGATACGACATTTTTTACGCGTTCTACCGGTGTCAATTAATTTTAATTGACAAACCGTGTCGAAATAAGACGCTCTTAAAGTTGCCGCGGATGTTTCGAATCAAACGATCAATTTCGACAGGATTACATGAAAACTTCAAGAAGTGATAAGCAACGGTATGATGCATTGTAAGAAACCCAGAACGAGGAATTAAAATAAATTTAAATAGAAATGTGAGTTGTAACAAAAGACAATATTTACTGAAAAGACAGGATAAATTTTTAGGGGTAGCAAATATATTCTTGAAAAGAACGTCAAGAAGCAAAGTTTTATAGTAAAGTTTGAAGACTGATACTTTTATCTCATTAAAGAACCAAATTTAAGGAAACTACTAAAGAATAAGAGGAAACTACTAAAGAAAGAGACTACTAAAGAATGTTATCCATCGTTTTTTTCTTGATAATTCGGGCTTACGAATTATCAATTCGGGCTTAACGAATGGTAATATTCCCCAGTTTAAAATCATGACTTATCGTACCTGCACGTCTCGCTAACGCGTCTTTATCAAAACCGTTATTGATTTCCATCCTCTCGAACGATTTTTCTTTGCTATCTCCAATCATTCTTATACATCCTGTCATCAATCGACTACTACTAAACTTCCGCACTCGCTTAATCAGAAGAACAATCATTGTCTGCTTGATGATATTACTGACCGATCAGCAAGCTTTATCAAGATCACGAAAGGACTTACCGTGCTGGTGCAGTTTCCCGCCGCCGACGGCCTGCTGTTGCGGATGCCTGTGATGATGCTGTTGTTGTTGCTGCTGCTGCTGCTGCTGTTGCTGCTGCTGCTGTTGCTGCTGCTGCTGTTGTTGCATCTGTTGCTGTCGTGAATCCCGCGCCATGATTGCGGCGATACTGAAGTCGGTCGCGCATTGCCGGTTTGAATTGCAATTGTTGTTGAGATTGTTGAGGAGGCTGCTGTTCGGCGACGGACTCGAGCTTTCGTCACCATCATCGCCAGCGCATCCGGATAACCCGGTGGGAACCGCGGGGGTGGCGGTGCCCTCGCCCTGCATCTTCCTGCCCAGGTAGAGGTGTCGGGATTCCTCGTCGTCCTCCTCGCTGCCGGCTCCTCCGCCGCCACCGCCACCACCGCCGCCTCCGCCACCGCCGCCGCCTCCGCCACCACCGCCGAACGAGGTCAGTGTCAGTCCGTTTCTCTTCCTACCGGCGAGACCTCGCGACTCCAGCAACATTACCTCGCGCGCTGCTTCCTGGGCCACGTGGGGTCTACCGATGAACTAAACTAATTTGAGACGCGCGTTTCTAAGCGTCTCTGGTCCTTGATGTCGCGACCTCGTCACTTTTTTTACGGGCGCCGTGAGCGGCAATGGTGCCAACGATGGTAGCAGTGACGGTGCGGATTTCTATCCTCGATACGCCAATACTGATGCAGTGGTGTCAGCATTCTCTTCAACGTCAGCTCCAACCTGCAGTGGTGCACATTACACGCGCGCAGTAACTTCCACACGTGCACGTGCGAGCGAAGCCAAGATGTGCTAACAGGAACTGTGCGCGAACGCGAATGCAAGTGCACACTCTCGTTTATTGCTGGAATGATTGTGTCGCTTGGTCAATCGCGATCGGCGCTTTCGCACGGTCAGTAAAACGCACGATCGAGCCACAGGAAGGAACCAAAGAAGGTCCCGGCCGGAACGACTTTCCAGGCACAACAACACTGAAACGTCGCTGACGACGATGGCTAGCCGATGACACTTGGTGTGTTTGAAGTACCGGTAGTGATTTGGACGGAACTATGCGCGCGGGCGCGACAACGTCAGGTACCGGACACTTCCTGAAGTGCGCGAGATACTCGAAAGGGCGAGTGTCGTCACTGCGGGAAAAATACGACCGCTACTACGTGATGTGTGCGCGCGCGTACACATGAAAAGCGCAGAGTATCGCGTTCGCTTTGATGTATCGTTTATACTCAGACACCGCGTGAGTGAAACGTGGCGCGGACAGAGCGAGGCAGGGAACGACAGACCGACCGGTTGCCCGACAGACTGACCCGCGCCACCGCCGGTCGCCTGTTCGTTTCGGCCCCCACCCGCCACGCGATCGGACTCGGGCTCGGATAGACGAGCCGAAGGGACGGTAAGACCCATGAGGTGAAGCGAGATGAAAGGATACTCGGCTGAGTGGCAGCGGGTGTCGATGGGCGGCTCCAGGAACAATACGCTCCGCCTCTGGGTTCGGTTTCCGACTCCGCCTGCAGCTTTCTCCCGCTTAAAACCCACCTCGAGGTTCAGCCGAACGTTATTACCGCGCCGTTCTTTCTCTCACGTACATTTCTATTCTCTCTTTCTCTCTTTCGCGTTCATGTCTAACCGAAACTGCCAACCGGGAGCCGACGATACATACGAACATATATATTCTGGCTCACGTCCACAGGAGGGGAATCCGGTCAGCGACGATGGTGGCAGTGCTGCTGGTGCTGATGGTGTTGGTGGTGTTGGTCGTCGTCACCGCCGTTGTCCTCATCGTCGTCTTCGTCATCATCGTCGTCGTCATCGTAGTTGCTGCCGCTCTGGCCAGGTTGTCCCTCCTCGTCGCACGTTGCTTTTTTCACGCCGTCTGCCTTCTCCCTCTCTGCCTTGCTTCTTCTCTCAAGATCGTCCTTGTCCTTTCCCTGCATACCTCCACCTTCGTTCTCCCCTCTCGATGCCCTTGCCAACCTAGAAAGCCTGCCCCGCCCGATGCGTTCGCGCGCTACACGTCACACCTACAGACAAGAAAGAGTAGGGTGGTAGAGCGGTATTAAGGTTTCGTACGCACCATACAGCCACAGCAGCTGCCATTTTTTCTTATAAGAGGGGGGCAATTGCTGACAGGGACCGCTTTCCTTTGCGTCGGTACGCCGCTACTCTATTTTTTTCTCTTTCTCACTATCCTCTCTATTTCCCCTCGTCTTTTCTCTTTCCTCCTATTTCTTGTTTCTTTCCGTTCACCCGTCTCCTCCTCCTCCTCCTTCTCTCCTCCCCTCTCTCCCTCTCTTCCTCTCTCTTTGTATCATCTCATTTCTTTTTCTGCCACTCTCTCGAGCACAATTTATTGTTTTACTGGCGAAGCTTTAAACACGGCCGAGCGACGACGGCGGTGGCGGCGGCGGCATCAGCGTCAGCATCAGCTTCAGCGTCAGCCGCGGGTAACGCAGGTGGGTGGTTAGCTCGTTGCTGGCTGGCTGGACGGTAGTTAGAGTGGGTAGTAGTGGTGGTGGTGGTGGTGGTAGTGGCGGTGGTAGTGGCGGTGGTGGCGGCAGTGGTGGTGGTCGAGAAGGTGGTGGTTGCTCAAACGGCGCGACTCGGCTCGACTGGGTTCGGCCGCCGCCAAGTGCGGGCGTGGGAGTATATCGTTGTGCACTCGCCGGGAAATCCCGTCAGCGTCTACTATCAACGTGCCGCGGATACGCCACACTTAGCCGATCGTGCTCTTATTATTCTCGATCCCGCGTTCCCGCCGCGTCTTACACTGCCTTTCCCTCTTCTTCGTCTTACAAGTAGTTCGCTTGATCTGATCGGCATCTTTTGACGAGATTTGCGGATGCCGCTCGTGAAGACGCGTCGCGTTTCGCTGATCTTATGGCGAATGGAGGAGCAAATTTTATTGATTCTTCCGGGTATAATAATTTCTCTTCGCTTTTTTAACGTAGCACTTTTACATCTGTACTTTCTTCTTGGCGTATTCTATATTTCATCTGCATGTTCCGTAGTCTAAATTGGAAACTGAATTAGTCGACCCAATCATTCGTTTCTCGTGGAGAATCTATACAATTTTCTTTTTCTCCTGTTTCTTTTTCATAATCTTTTTTTTTTCAAGAGCCTTTCACATTTCTCTATTACTATCAATTGTGAAGAAACAAAATATGATATAAAAGCTACGAGAGTTTAATACAAAATTCTTGCAGACCTCCGAGTTGTATCGATCACGATCGGTAGAACCATTAACAATACTTCTTGTCTCATTTTATAAGTTTGTATCTGAGGAGGTGCTCTAAAATCTCTTATTATTCTCCATCTTGGCAATTCGACGCGCTGTTATTGTCGTTATTGCCGTTTATCGAGGAACGAAGAAGTACGCGTATTGCAATACCGAATTACTTTTTCCGCTGGACGATTTTCCGATAGAAGTATTACGGTCGAAATAACGTTATCCTCCGCCGGAACGAGCGTCGAAGATGAATGGGAGTTGGAGTACCGCTACCCTGCATCGCCGGCGCTTTTTCCTCCCGCCTGCACCGCGAGATATTATTTCGTCGAATATCTCTCGCGAGTCGTTTCGGACGCGGCATTTTGTTGGAGATAAGTTTGGACTTTAACTGGTTTGGATTCTCGTAAAAAAAAAAGAAAGAAACGCTACGTCGTTGAATTCATCGTATGAATCAAAACTACGCCGTTATTTCGCTGTGATTGGATTGTCAGCTAGGGTCGGCTTCACAATTTTGGAGAAATCTCCGAAGGAATTAATTTCGTGAAAAGATAAACGAAAATGCGTCGAAAATTTTGTCGGTTAAAAAAAATAACAGCGAGAGAGAGAGAGAGAGAGAGAGAGAGAGAGAGAGAGAGAGAGAGAGAGAAGAAGGGAGGGAGGGAGAGGATTGACTTTATAATAAAAAACCTCTCTCTGACTTCTCACCTTCCGTACGACGCATGCGGTATCTTGACTTCCGCAGAATGAACTTCCAAGCCGTTAATCGCGAGAATCGAAATGGTCTCGCAGCCAACTATCTAGTTGTAACTGACGGCGCTAAAATGTGAAACCGTTCAGTGACCGCGCTAAATAATTAACGTCACGTTAAAAGGCGGTACGAGAACGGTTAACGAAGAGAAGCGGCGCGCACGAAAATAAGAAGGTATTCGGGTGCTGGTGGAGGCATATTACTCCGGATATTATTATAATAAAGCAGGAAATTACCTCGTGTGATAAATGCGCGGGTAGCGATGCAGTCTCGTAAATTATATCATCAGCGGATTATCGTAATTACACAGCACGCGGCGTATCGCGCGCGAGAGAAACGAGCAGCGCAATGCCGCTGCGGGGGAGGAGGAAGAGGAGGGGGATGTAAAAGAAGAGGGAAAGGGACAAGCTAAAAATCTCGCGATTCGCGCGGCGCATTGTGTTATTATTACCCTGCTGGGTGGTAAACGTAATCGTTCGCGCACAAATTGCTAGCCGTGCGAAACAGTTAATCGAGGCGTGACGCGCGATCCGCCATGGCACGGCGATGTATTTACGCGCGATCGGATATCGATCCTGCTTTTATCCCTGCGACCGGAAGCGACTGGCACTTCCAGTTATCGTGTTATCGGACTCCGACTTTCGGCTCACTAGTATGGCGTAATTCGCGCGCGGCCGTGTCTACGAGTGGATTGGGTTAATTCAATTAATCGATCCACCGCACATTGGGCGAGACCGCTAATTTAAGCGTGCGAAAGCAGAGGAGAAGGAAATTTCGACAAATCTTTGCCGACATGATCGGTATTGTCGTCTGTGCAACGTGTCTAAACGATTCAATCGTCATTTGCATCGCTGTTGACAGTTAATTATAAAATTATCTAAAAGGTATAACATGTTATATATTTGTATTATCATATTCTCCTTTACCGAATTTCTTCAATGTAAAATATCGGTTGGGTCAACACAACAAATGCGATTTCTCTTAAGTTTTGGCCCATTATATTCTGTGAAGGTCCGCGTCGAAAGACATCCTCTTATAACGAAATCCACGGTAGTATATTCCACTTCCTATCTACCTATATACATATATACATATACACACATACATAGACAGAGTGCCTGGAATCTTTTGGAAACGAAAAATTGTATTGATTAATCAGGTCAAACTGAGAAGAAAAGTCATGCTCCCCTTCCCTTATATTAATTTGCAAAAATCGCAATAATTATTAAATTATTAATGATTGAAAATGATCATATCTAAAGGCTCTTTTAATTGATAACTTGAAAATTTGCGTACTTATTTATTTGCAAAATGTTAAAAGATATTTTTGTTTAACCTAGCAACAGATTCAAGATTCAGGGTTCAAAATCCAATATATTCATATCTATCGCTAGACATAATAGCCGTCATATAATTATAGATTAGGTCATTTTGAACAAGAAAGCCCTTTATCTCTCTCATTTTCAAATAAGTACACAAATTTTCAAGTCATCAATTAAAAAATCCTCTAAATGTGATCATTTTCAATTATTAATAACTTAATAATTACTGTGATTTTTGGAAAATGAGGGGGAGGGTACATGACTTTTCTTCTCTGTTTGATCTGATGAACCTACATAACTTTTCTATCCAAAAGATCCCTGACATCTTATACATATAGGAGGTGAAATATACCTTCAAAAAAATTAATTTTTCTTTTAGAATAATTATCATAGAAACTCAAGAACAGAAAAAATATTGCAACAAAAATCAAACGTTTTTAAGAATATTTCACACTGATGTTTTCGAAAATGATATATTTAATAAAGATTTTTCGAGAATGTTATATTTTTTAACATACTTTCATCATTTATTACTTTTTTTCTAATTTAATAATATTTTTCCGTCCACAAAAGGCCGAATTCAACTATGACAATGTTATATTTTAAGTAATTATTTTTCTAAAATTGGATGAAAACACTTCCATACTTTTGTATTTTTCGCGCTTTCTTATAGTGAGAAGTAACGATTACTGCAGACATGCAGGATATCTAATTATATTATATAATTTAATATTTTAAACAAGATATTTAATATCTATAATAACAGCAATGATAATTATAATACTAATTATTTTAGTATATTTAAACCAATTATGTACACATAACAATAGTTATGTATTTCTTAACTTCTTCGTTATAAAGAGTTATATGTACACTATGAATGTAAAACATGAATGGCGTTTGTGAAGAGACATGGCGGTGTCTCGCATAAAATGCATGTAAGCGACTGTAAAGCGTAAAATGCATGAGCAGCGTAATCATGATCGCATGTTTATTAACGCAATGTAGTTTCCAATAGACTCATAGATGCATAC